GGTGGTGGTGGTGGTGGTTGGGGGTGGCAAAATCGTTCCAATGTTAATGGATGTCGGAAAGGACTTCTCATCTTCTCTTGATCTTTGATTGTATTTTTGGGACAATCAAACTTTTTTTTTGTGGATAATAAAACTTAATAACATAATAATAAGTATTAATAACGAAGTTTCATGTGTTTGTGCGGGGAGATTGACAATAGACAAGAGTTCGAACTCACCGGTATCCTGACAGAATGTCTGCAAAATAGTCATCCTCCGTAGCTGGCTCACCTCGGTTAGTGGCCTGCACCATCCAATGCAGCTGCGGAGTTGAAACAACTCCCATGTCTAGCACTTCCATTCCTGGCAGAGCTGAAATCCCCTGATGAAATACCAGTTAAGACAATGCAAAAACACAAGCAGGGGGAAAAAGTGGGGGGGGAGGAGGAAACAAAACAAACAAAAAAACAAGGTTCCCTTCCGTTACTCGATTTATAAACACAACACTACTACGCTGTGACTTCAGAAGCCAAAATAGGAAATCCCCTATATAGGCTAAAGAAACCAAATCTCACCAATAAGGAAAAAAAAATGCAAAGAGATTGAAGAGACATACACAGACACCGGTCTGCAAGACTCCCTGCGCATACCGATTTTCTTTTCTTTTCTTCGTTTTTTTTTGGGGGGGGGGTAATTTAAAGTTCCGAACTTTCGACTGATTCGAGAACAGAGCCTACCTCGCTTCGTTTTTTTTCTTTTTTTTCCCAAAAAAGAACTTTCAGCTGAAAGTCCTAAAATTGGAAGCACCTTGCTTGTGCACAAAACTGGTCCTTTAAAGTTCCGTGCTCCCAATTTTCGGACTTTCAGCTGACTTGACAACAACAGGCGCAGAAAAGACACGCATGCGGAAATGTACCAATACATTCATAATGTGACTTATGGGGTCACATGACCTAAAATCTGCACAAAACTGGTCCTTTTACAACTACACAGTGTCACGCATAATTATTGATTACAAATTACCTATGTGGTTAGGGTACTGACCACGGGCATCCACAACCACCCACTAAAACTTCGCGGGGCATTAGCACACATCTTGGCCTCCTTACGTTGCAGTTCTGGATAGTGAGTGACAAGCATTCTCACAAACAGGACTCCGCCGTTTTTCTTTCCTCTTAGTCCATGCTGTATCTATAGCTGTCAAGTCCAACCTCTGCTTGCTTTGTTGCCTATAAGCCGTATAAGCTGGCACTCTCCCATCCACCTAGATATGCTGTGAGATCATAAAAAAACCTCTCTTGTCTAGCAAAACGTCAAGGCTTGTCCAGGGTCTAAAGTGATAACATCTTACCCTTGTGCACAAGCACTTACTTTACGATACAATGAACATAGAGTACTCTAATTAGCACACCCTAGTGCACAAGCACTGCACAGGTACCCCAATTAGCGTACCCTTGTGCACAAGCATTGCACAAGGGTACCCCGATGCTTGTGCACAAGGGTACGCTAATGCTTGTGCACAAGGGTACGCTAATTAGTTTGTCCGCAAGGGTACCCTGATTAGTTTGTATGCATGCGGACCCTAATTCGTTTGTGCACAAAGGTACCCTCATTAGCTTCTGCGCAAGGGTACCTACCCTGATTAGCTAGTGCACAAACATACCCTAATCCGTGTGCACAACGGTCCCTAACTAGCTTGTGCACAAGGGTCTTTTCATTAGCTTGTGCACAAGGGTACCCTAATTAGCTTCGCAATGCGCTCAAGGGTATCCTAATTAGTTTATTCACGAGGATATCTACTTAGGTTGTGTACGAGGGTAAATGCCTAAGTAGCTTCTGCACTGTACCCTAATACTTGTGCACAAGGGTATCCTAATAATTCGCTTGTGCACAAGAGTATCCTTACAATTCGCTTGCGCACAAGCATATCCTAATAATTTGTGCGTGCACAAGGGTACCCTAGTGCTTTTGCACAAGGGTACCCTAATGCTTTTGCACAAGGGCACCCTAATGCTTTTGCACAAGGGTACGCTAATGCTTTTGCACAAGGGCACCCTAACGCTTTTGCACAATGGTAGCTGCACAAAGGTACCCTAGTGCTCCTTGGTGTCAATAATGCATAAGGGCATGCCCACTCTAGAAAAATAGTGAAATACCCTTGCAGTTAGTTGACCCCGCTCTAGAGAAAATTCCCTTGTGCAGTTGAGCCTCTGCACGCACTCTGTGGCGATATGCTTGGCGTTGGCTCGGCAGTTGAGGCATAGCATCATAAGATAGCGGCTCCTGAGGAGGATGCCTTGCGAGGAGGGGAGCACTCGGATATGTACTCCTTGGCGCTCTGCTTCATCAGGTGCCCCGGGCTCGTTCTTAATTCACTTCATTTGGCCCGTTTGCAATTCACTTGACCAGAGCCATTCGCAATTCGCTTGTTCATGTTTGTCCTCAGCTCTTGAGCTGGCTCGTGCCTTTGGGGGGGCCCCACAACATACTCAGACCACCAGTATAGGACTTGTTTGACTGATTGGACGTAATTGCAGTCAGATACATCCTGGTGCGGCCATGATACCAATCAGATATGTCTAGGAAGATCCTACTGTGAGTATGCTCTCACTTATGCGGTGTGAATTTCTGGAGATGCAGCGACCCCCTGATGTGAGAGTGGTTATCTGTCATCTATTTATCACTTGCCAGAATTAAGGACCAGAGTCCTCACTGGTGCTACGTCCGTGCTGAGAAAGCACAAACCTGGCTGGAAAAATGTCCTGGTTCATGCGTTCCGACCACTGGCATAGCACCAACGGAACCTGGCCCTGAGAGTCGTCCTGATGCTGCTTGCGATGAGAGTTATTCTATAGGAGGCGAGATCAATCCCTTATAGGGAGGGCACCAGAGAAGGCAAAGGAACCAGGTTGTTGTGCAGAAAACAGCTATAAAAACGACGTACGGAACATGCTCCACAAACCAGGTCCAGAAAGATAGAGAAAGCAGGTGTAGAAACCAGGTACAGAAACCAGGTACAGAAACCAGGTACAGAAACCAGGTACAGAAACCAGGTACAAA